AGTTGACCAAGCAATTCAGTTAACGCGATTCTGATTTTTTCAAAATGTTTCCCTGTCTTTGTTTCATTTGTTAGGGTTATTAGGTATAAACAATAAAAAAACTTCTCTAAAATTCTGCCCTATCCCCTTCATCATATTATTAATGTTTTCTCCTTTCAAACATGCGTACAGCCATTGCAGTGGATTTCATAAATAGCAATAAGCACATGTAATGTTCATAAAGTATGCTGGAGAGTCTACAAAAAGGCAGGTTTCCAATAATTTTCAATTTCAGTTTGGACCATCCACAGAGGTCTTAAGTCGAGAGTCGACCCAAAATCGAAGTACTACAGCGATATTTAAGCTCGGCTCAATGACGTCATTTCCAACTCTAACAGTAATATCCTTAAGCTCTGCACTTCTACGACTAGATCCCACTCTATAATGCGTTTACAAGTGCTAATCTTTGCAAAGGATAGTGCAAATTTATAATTAGAACTGCACTTTGCACGCTATTTTTTACCTGAGCAGGAAGACGATTTTTTACGCACCGGTGCACTTTTTGCAAGGTTTTGCTTCAATTTCCCATGATAGTGCATGACGGCCTAATTATAGCAGATCATTTCCTGCTTGATTATCACCTTTCCAATGCTGAATTTGATAAGCTTTTCTCAAAAAGGAAGTCAATGATAATGAGATCAGGAAAAAAGAATCAAGTGTTGAAGGAGGATCAGAAAAAAAAGTTTTTATAGCAGAGATAAGGTAAATGCATTTTACATATACATTTTACATATATGTTTATTCTCCCTCTCTTCTCATTCACCACTACATCAACTATTCAGTTGAAAATAGGAACTTTCGCAGGACCTTTTAGACTGGATGGGAACGGGAACTTCCGCAGAAATTTTTACAAAACGCTGCAGCAATTCCGAAAAATGTTCGAAGGTTCGAATCTAGTTACGTGTTCGCTTTTGCTGTTTGGTTCGCGTTCTTCGGAGCTTCTGCAGCACGTTTACAGAACTTCCCCTGACCCGGCGGAACTTTTCCAGATGTTCTGCGGAAGTTCCGGTCAGTTTCTGAGTGGATGCTCCCTTATAGCACTTTCTTGTAGATATGAGAGCCACATATTCTTTGATACGTACTCTCGCTACAAACGAAGCTTTCCTGGAAGCCCTAATGGGAGCTCGTTTTTGAGGTTTGCTGTTCCCATTTTTTTATTTTGTCATTTGGTGCTAGAACATGCTTTTCTCGCCACATTGTGGTACTCCCCTCTGACGTAAGCCATCATTATCGCTTTCGCAGCAATCATAACACTTTTTAATGTCTATCTAGAAAGGTTCGAATGCTTGCGTCGTCTGCAAAACATGCAGAGAAAACTGTCAAAATTGCCCTTGCCCTTGGGGAATTATCTACTTCCTTTTGCATGTCAAGAATAAGTCAACACAATGAGGGCGGCGTCCGTTCTACCCTGTGCCAGGGTGAATTTCCTTTGTGAAGTCTGGTTCTGGATTTCGGATTAGAGCAAATTTGCAAACCTGTAGACGAGTATCGAAGTCTGGACTGCGAAGAAGATCTGTATAGTCATCTTCACGAGGCATAAAAGCAGGAGACGGTAGCCGATCAAAACGAAAACGGAGCGGATCCAGCAACGAATCCATTACTGGAAAAGCTGTATACATCTACTAGATTTGAAAGAACACCGGTGGCGTTTACGAAGATGCAATAATAATTTATGCAAATGCTGAATGAGAAACATCGTAAACAAGCTTATACCACCGGAGTTTTTATGGTTTTTTTTACCAAAACCTTTTTCAGAAGATATTGCGCTCCAAATGCTATACCCAAGTTCACACTTAATAACAACAAAATCAAGGCACATGTTAGAACTGCAAGGAATGTGGAATAACAATGCTTCGCCTACGACTTTTGAAGGAGTTGTCAACAAGTCTACTTGTGCGTTATGAAATGATATACAGAATGATAGATATTGTACATATGCAAAAAGTGGAGAAAATTGAGAACTTATGCGCAACCTGCTGGAAGCATCTTTGGGAAATACGAATTTTGTCACTAGAGACAAAACAACTGAAAACATCTTCTTCTTCTAATCCGCAGAGTAGATGGAGAAAGTGTGGGAAAGCGTACTGGGAAAGGACCCAAACTCGAAATCGGCGTTCCACATGAAATTTATCTCACTTAGAAGAGCATCAAACACTGATTCTAGATCTGTCTTTGTTATCAACCAAGCTCCTCTAGACGTAGTTTTATAAGCGTTTTTTGCTTGAAAAATTGAGATAACTGGAACAAAATTGTCCCAGATTCGCAAATGGCCCCAGCTCGGATATCTCAGAGCACTTCATGCATGAAGTGTTTTTGTTCA